TTTCTTACGGGTTTTACTGTATTTTTGATCCAAAACTGCGGTATTGCGGTTTCATCGAGTACAACAGTACGTGGTTTTCTAGCATTTTGAGCAGCGGTATTTCGGTGAGGGAAGTTTCCTTACAACGTTAGTAAGAGGGGGAATTTTTCTCGAGTTTCAGTGCGGTTTTCGGTAATTGTGCTGAAATCTTGCTGTTTTACGGTATTGGAGACCCCAATGTCCCCACTCCTTTAGTTATGCAGCGTTCAATTCCTACTGTTACCATCCACCTCCCCCCCCCCTCCCCCCGGGCACACCCCTGAACATTTGCCATTTTTTCTTCACTTGGTGTCCTATTCCCCACCCCCGGGCACAAAGATAGAAGCAATTCCCCACCCCCGGGACACAAACTGCGCCGTTTCACAAGAAGACAGAAATATTTATTACGTTTTACAAAATAGACGTGGACTCGTATGGCTCATGTAAAGGTCAGGAAACATCTCTCCATTGTTTTTGTTTCTCGCCCGCGTTTCTTTGGCTTTTAACGCTCCTCTCTTGCGGTTTTTTCAAATACAGGTTTTATAAACTTGGAAAAATATTGCTTTCCTCCAACCAGTCGCATACAAATTGAAGGGATTCCCCAGCAAAGCAGTCCGCTAACTGGGGCATGTCGGCCCGTTTGGTTTGACGCAAATTTTGCCCCATAATCCCTTGCACGACTAGATAATTCAACTATCCCCAACCCCTACCCCCGGGACAAGACTAACTTGCAAACTTCCCCAATCCCGGCCACAAGGGCTGACTTTGTCCTGGGGGTTGCCAGGGGGGGGGGGGGGGGGGGGGTTGATAACAGTAGGAATTGAACCCTGCATTAGGGTCAGAAATTAGCAATTAGCATGCCTCTGAATAGGGTCCAATGAAAATTATGCCTGGGATATCAAAGAAGTGAAGTCTGACAAATTCTCATCAACTTGTTCTTCATCATGGTATTAAAAGTAACTAATAGAGTTTGATTGCAGGTTTTTCAACCACCGGCATTGGGAGAACTGGGGTTTTTCGTGTGGTACGTAAGCTTATGTACACGTGTTCCAAAAACAGACCATAACAATGTTAAACTTTATGCAAAATGAATTTCAAAGGAAATCAGTATGGTTCTTAAGTGAACTCGTTTGTATTTCTTGGGTCCAAAGCCTTCTAACAAACTAGGGAACCGAATTATTTATTATTATCTTACCTGAAAAGTGGCCCGCCATTTTGATTTGAGCACGGATGCACGAGAAGAACTGGAAATAGTAGTGCCAGTCTTACTCTCAGTTTGCAAGTCGCCTGGCACTTTTCTGCTTTTCGAGTGAAAAAATATGAAATGAGGTAATGTTTGCATTGCGGAAGCTAAAGCAGTGTTCAAGAGGGGTAAAAATCTTTCGAAACGTCATCATGGCTGAAAGCTCCTTTCACACGAGCAGTGATAACAAGGCAGAATTCGGCGATCTGCTCCACAAAGCAAAGAATGTAGTTGTTCTCACAGGTGCGGGTGCAAGTGCAGAGAGCGGGATTCCTACATTCCGCGGCTCTGGCGGACTTTGGAGAACATTCAGAGCTCAAGATTTGGCGACTCTTGACGCGTTTCGCAGGAACCCGTCATTAGTATGGGAGTTTTACAGTTACAGGCGAGAAGTTGTCCTGACGAAACAGCCAAACAAGGCGCATTATGCGATTGCAGAGTTTCAAAAGAAGCTAAAAGAGGAAGGAAGAAGTGTGACTGTCATTACACAGAATATTGATGAATTGCATCAAAGAGCCGGCACGGAAGGTGTAATAGAACTTCATGGTTAGTTCACAGTCTTTCAATCACCAGATCTTACAATATTTATAAAATAGCAAAGATGCTATGTATGCGCTGATTGGTCAAAAACTATTTGAACGATTTATACACGTAGTATTCGAGCAAAAAATGTGGTCCTTTATGATTAGATATGATGATGCAAGGAAGCCAATATATTGAATTATAAAGCTCTTATGACTGCAAGTCCATGATCAGATCTTCCTGTTCTTTAAAGTGTGTGTGTGGGGGGGGGGGGGGGGGGGGGGGGGCAGGGGTCTGAACTTCCCATACCTTATACTCCCGGTTCCCACCCCTTCTCTTTTTGCTTTTTCTATTGCAAAATATTATGCAATATTGCTAAAAAAATTAATTTTCTCAGGCCCCCACCACCTTGGGAATCCCCTCTTCCCACCCTCTCTTCTTCCGCCTCTAGACTTCCCGCCCCAGTCCCTCCTCACTTTAAACCAGTTCTACAGCCCCAGGGAAGAGTGGGCGGGGTACTCAAGAAAGACAGAGAGGACCATTTTGGGCTTTGCTCATAAATTTTTACCAGCATTGTTTCATGATGTTTGGTATATTGGGAGGTTGAAAATTTGAGGTGTTTTTTTTTTATGGGTGGAGGAGGTATATTTATCATATTAGGGGAGGGGGGATGTTAACTGGTGACTCAGTTCATTTATACCTCCCTGTCTCTTCTTTTCCTTGGGTACTCCCCTGGGGCTTAACAGCTGAGCCTGTTTATTTCCAGGTACACTATTCAAGACAAGATGCACTGTATGCGAACATGTTGCAGAAAATAGGAACAGCCCAATTGTCCCAGCATTGGAGGGAAAGGGGTAAGGACACAGCTACACTGTAAGGTGCTATTTCCACAGAATAAATAAATGACAAAACTGCTACTGGAATATGAAACTAAATTGGTCTCATTAAAATTATTCTCTATAATATAATATAGAATAATTTTAATAAGACATATACTGTACACTCTAATTCATAGTATTTTTCCAGTTTATCTTTACAGTTGACTCCCAATAACTCGAAACTTCAAGGGAAATTGAAAAACATTCAAGTTATTGGGAGTTTGATTGAGGTATTGAGGGTAAAATTAGTAAGAAAATGACCTGAAGGGAAAACAAATTTACTTTGAGTTTTTAAAAGCAGGGTCGTGTTATCGAGGGTTCAAGTTATCGGGAGTCAACTGTAGTTATTTTTTGGTATCCAGGGCCCCAGATCCTGATGCTCAAGATGCAAAGATTCCAGAGGATGATTTACCCAGGTAAGATTAACTCAAGTGTCAATACCAAGCTTGAAATAAATAGGGCAGCTATAGGGCCTGAAGGAATAGAGGCTAAATATAATGTGGGTATTAAATTCTTGTCAAAATATGCAAATTAAATTAAGCTGTTTGTAATGGACCTTTCAATATAAATATTGGCATCTTTGTTTGGTCTTGTAGTTTGCAAGGCTTCATAACCATTTTCCTCTATTAACTATGACATACATGTAAGTTACATGTAAGTACTTAATCTATATAGTAAGCATCTCCTTCATCAAATAATTAACATACTATTTATCATCAGGTGTGTTAAGTGTGAATGCTTAGTCCGTCCCCATGTAGTTTGGTTTGGAGAAGGTCTTGACAGTGGTGTACTAAAGGCTACTGATGCAGCTTTGGATAAGTGTGAAATGTGTCTTTTGGTGAGGATATAATTCTACTATTTTAAATTATACAATGTATGTCAATGTAAGATAAACTTAGATCAACACATTCTTTGAGTGAATAATCAGTTGCTATGGCAACACCACAAAAGGTCTTTTACCTTTCAAGGCTACAGAATACAGACAGAAACTATTCCTCCCTCCCCACCCCACTGGAAATCAATTCCAGTTTTGCTTCATACTCTCCTCTAAAAATTTTGCCTTTTGAGACCCCCCTGCACCTCGGAATTTCCAATGATCTTCCTTGGGGTGGGTATGGATATTTTTTGGAACTGCGCATTTAATAATTTTGCATTTATATGTGATTGTTCAATTTCTAGTCTGTACTTATCTACAAGGTATGGACTTCAAATTGAACAATGAATCATGTGTGTTATAAACTTACAGGTTGGTACATCATCTGTGGTGTACCCAGCAGCTGGGTTTGCTCCATTGCTGGCCGCTAAAGGAGTCCCAGTTGCAGAGTTTAATATGGAAGAGACTCCATGCACTGGAGAATTCAGGTACAGATATTTATTTGGGCATGCCCCATTTTTGTGATCCATGGTAATTACACAGTTCATATACATGTTCATGTTGAAGAACAATATTAATTTTACTAGTTTATGCATCTGGAGTCTGGAAAATTTACAGGAGTCCTGAAGCATTCCTGGAAAATTGTCTCTTAAAAAGACTAGAAAGCCACAACTGCAAAAGTGATGGGATTTTTTGCACAAACGACACAATTTCTTGAAAAAAGTTGCATTACCAATGCATGGTGAAAATCAAACATACATGCACAGGCCCCCTATGCACAGGTACTGTAACACAACAGCCAAGAAATAGCAAATAATGAAAGGTTGATTTATTACCTATCAATCAACATCACAAGTGATTTACAGCACAAGTGCAAGCAAAAAATCCCGCCAATAATAGCTCTCAAGAACTGGATAACATTTTTTTTTCACAGGTTTCATTTTCACGGTCCAGCGGGTGAAACTCTACCTCCCTTACTTGCTGAAAAAATCGGACTAAACAGAGCTCATGCGGCAAACATGATAACTCCAGTCATGGGTAGGTTGGTGGTTTATTAGAAATGAGCTATTGAATTTTATAACTGAATTTATAAGAAAGTGGCTCAAAAAAATTTCAGCATTTTTTCTGCAACTATGCCAAAAGTCCAGTTTTATGACTCCAATAACACTTGAAACCACACCAAAGAAGAGCAAAAAGGAGAAAGAAGAGAGGGAAGAGAGAAAAAAGAACTGGCATACCTGCCTAATCTTATGTATCGTCTACTTTGGAGATAGTTTCTGAATGAGAAAACCCAAAAAGCGTCAAAATGGTGCAATTTTCTGCGACCATGTTCTTATAAATCCAGTTATATTTGTGACAAACCATGCAGTACATTACCAGTAAGGTCAGTGCACATGAGGGGGCATTCCAAGAGCCTTAAAGTAAGAGCTGTAAGGGGACTTATTTTGTTGCATTTACAGGAGCCGACGCGGTGGCCTAATGGTTAACGCGATGGACTCTGGATCGAGTAGTCCAGGTTCGATCCCTGGCCAGGGTCATTGTGTTGTGTTCTTGGACACGAGCCAGGGGCTTGTTGCAGCCCTGATATAGTGTTTTACTCTGTCAAGATGTCGCAGGGATAGTTCACAACAATATATTTTATAATTTAACACAAAAGGGATGTCACCTCCTTGTGCATTGACCTTAAAAGGAATTTTTTAAAGATTATTTCAAATTATAAAATACATGTATGTTGTGGTTTAAATTTATTAGGTTGAAATTATTCAACTCAGTTTGATTTTCCTTTGTGTCAGACAAGGATAATAAATATCATTAATGATACAAAGGGGAAATAAAAATCAAACTGGTTTGAAGAATTGCAAATACAGTAAATTTAAACCACAATATTTTTAAAGTATAAAAACACACATCTATCAAATTTTATTTTTTTATTTCCAAGAAAGTACAGTCATTTCCAGATAAGTACAATGTAGAGAGCTATAGATTTTTGGTTCAGGGTAAAAATCGTAGCAAAGAAATGTGAAGATGTATCTATGCATGTAATTGAAGTTTGTAAGAAAAATGTCACAAGTTTGATTCTATTTTACACTGGAGATTGCTCCCTCATTTTTAGTCTGTTTAAAAATATAGCTAAAATAATTATCTGTACTTTTATTAGTATTTTTGTTACCTTGAATATCTCAAACTAAACTTGAGATTCTGTAAATGAAGATTCTGATAATTATTGTTAGTGTCTCGCACTCTTTCATGGCACTGCCATAAAATATTCTAACATAAAAGACAAACTTGGTAATTACATTATTAACTGGAAATAGAGCAGTTTTCAATTGTGTGTCGAAGGTAATCCGGAGTTTAAAAATCTCGCACACCATCTACTCAACCAATCAGATGCAAAACCAAACCAATCATGACTTGGTCACATGCTTTCCCTTGTGCTTGGCGCTGGCTACATGTGATTAGCCATTGTAATATGCTTTGGTTATGGCTTTACGACACTCGATTGAAAACTGCTCTATAACACATGATCACGTCTTGGGATAGCTATCATGGAATTGTCTGTCCTCTACATGTAGCTAACAAAATTAACAGAAGGACATTCTTTGGTAACAATATCACAAATCATATTATGATTCATGAGCATTCGGGACAATTTATTTTATTGCGGATGGCATATATTTCCTGTTTGCCACCAGCTCATTTTGAAAAAAAAATTGGTGCAACTTTATTATTAACAATTAAATTACACTGGCTTTGCCCGAATGCATAAAACTTGTATTTTCAATTGTTTTTTCCTGGCTTTTATGTATGGTCGCGTTTCCACTTCTCTCTGTTAAAATAATGTTTTTGTTTTCTCTGTAGCTTATATTTCACATTCATTTTCATTGACCAGTAGCAAAACTGGATCTGACTCTGATTCTGTAAGAGACAGTCATTCCTTGTATTGACTGGTTATAAACAGGTATTTGTCAAACATAATTAGTTGTATGTAAATAAAAACAATAAGGCCAGTTTAAAAACTGTGCCCATAAATATTGCAATGTTTAGAGACAAATAAACGTTTGAAAAATTATATGTTGGTCTGTGATATAATCCAGCCTTGTCTGAGCATCTTTCGTTTTCTCTGATAATCTAATCTAACATAATCATGGATCATGACTCTCGGCATTGTCATGCTATTGTTAAGACTTAACCACTTCAGCCCTGAATCAACCAGTCTCTAATTTCTCCTAAACTTATGAACTCGATTGAGATACGCATGCCATGACAATAAACTAACCGATCATCGAATGGACTTAATATTGACAAATTCTCCTGACTTGTGCTATAAGAAAATGCATGGAGACCAGTAAGGGGAATTTGTATGTTGACATCAGGGCTTAAAGAGTTAACATCTTAACAAGGTAGACTACGGCATTTGTATAAACTAACATCAGTAATTCAAACTCTTTCAATATTGCAATGTACAGTTTTATCATAATGCTAAAAAGCCTATAATGGCTTTGTTCCAACATGACTAGCAACTAATACAAAAGTTCTAAAAACTATTTTGGATCTGATTAACTATCAAACATAAATTGATACTACAGTAATTACATAATTGTACAATGTACATTATGCTCTAATTTACAGCTTTTCACTGACAGCCAAATGAACCTTTCCAGCCTCAAAATGTGCAAAATTTTCTCCTGTCAGATTTCATAAATTGGGAGAAGCTCTCTCTATTATATATAATACACAAAGAAATCTATTCATAATTATTGCTTATTGATCGAGTCCCTTTCTTTCTTGTGCACCACAACATTACGGAGAAAATAATAGAATTTTTATTGTCAATTGTATTGAGACTGGAAAGATTACATGTTGAACTGGAGTCTTGGGTTCCAGCTTGAAATAAATAAAATCTGTATTTGAACACATTTCTACAATTCATTGTAATTATACAATTTATCATTCTGATAATTCAATTGTTTTTTGATTTTTTTTAGTCTAAAATGTAGAGGTGCCTTTGCACAAAATCCAGAATTATCAGTAGTAGTAACTAAATTGATGGCTACTTGATCAAGTAGAATGTGGAAATCTGTCATTTTTCATCAAATTAATTCAAGGTATTTTTCAATATTGATACCAATTTTGCTTGACAAATTTTGACTCTTATTTTAATTTATTCTTACAATCACTATTAAATTTATATCACTTTTAATATTTTTGTTGCATCACTATGTTATTTTCTGGAACTTGTTCTGGCTCTCAAGTTTCTGCCAAGACTAAACTTATTTTGGCCAAATTACATGTTGCTTTTTCAGCTATAGATGTACATGTACCATGGAGATTACGCAGAAAAAATGAAGCATTCCATGAACAAATTACATTTGGTGTATAGCGACCGAGTGTGTTTTTTGTGCAAGATCTTTTAGGGATATTTTTTCTTATTTTCATAAGTTTTTATTCGGAATCTTGGCAGCATGGTTACATTCACATGCAACTTTGTTTAAAATAAATTGCTGTCTCAATATTTTTCATTGAAACTTGCACTACATTGTAAATAATCATTGATTTGTCTCCTGTGACTAAAAAAGATAGCGGACACTTCTGAATACTTTGAGAATGTTGCAGCGCAGGCAGCATTTAATAGCTATTTTAAAGCTAGACTCTATGAGCAAATGTTTAATTTATCATTTCTAAATGATATGTCATGTTCTATGACTAGACGTTTCTACTAAACGACTACTCAGAGTTTATTTCGTTCTGGAATTCAGTATGTTTCACTTCACTTCAACTACCTTCCATAGTCTGCAATCTGCAAATTAAAGATGTTAAACTGGCTTTAGTTATTACTTTTTGTTCAAGATGAGTAATGGTTGTCTTTTTCACATTAATACTTTGGTTCTCAAAAGAAAACCATCTTGGGCTTGTGAATTGTACAATATAACTAACAACACTCGCTTCTGGCCTGGTAGTAGGCGCTCAATTTCTGCCATTTCCCAAACAGAGCCTACATGTACCTTGGTAGTGGCCACAGAATAAGATGGCTATCCAATAATAAGAGACTTTTGGTGACCAGTGAATAGAGGTGGTCGTAGTTCCATGTACTTTAACTTATAAGGTAACACCACCGATCAGCCCTACCCCGGGGAGCAAATAATTATCAATGCTTTGGAAGGATGATGAAAAAGTGAAACTGCAATTTCAAGTTGGTCCTCAAAGTGTGAAGGCTGAACAAAATAAAAGTTGTTCTAAACTTACCTGGTATCCTTGGAAGAAGGGCATCATTTCATAAGGTTGCGGCAAGAATGGCGACATCCTCATCCTCATATTTGTACTGGCTGGTGGAAAATAACTCACACTCCCTCCTCCTCCAATGCCATTTGTAGGCATGACACAGTTGAAGTATGTCGGTGAATGAGGTACATGATACACCCCTGTGGGACTGCGACAAGCAGGTGTAGCTGTTACATTGTCTGTGTGTCCATTCATATGTGTCCCATTTGGACTTGTGACCACGCCATTACTCACAGGGTATGAACATGGATGGCTGTAGGGAGTGTTGAGTGATGCCATCTTAGTTTGATTGATTGTACTGCTGGTAATGATAGAAGCAATGTCAACTCCTGAGCATGGGAACACTTCAATGTATCTCTCCCCCATGTGTTGTCTGTGGAGGTCAGTGGTGGCTGTTTTAGCACATTCTGAGGATACTAATTGTACGTAGGCATCTCCAGAGGGTCGACCCTTAGTATAAAGAAGCAACATTCCAGTCAGTAAAAAATAACACATCTGCACTCAGAACACTCGCACTGCTGGAGCTTATACCAATTTCTGCAGCATAAAGTGACCAGGAGTATTGCCACTCCCCATGGATGGGATTCTAATCCATTGCAGGTTACCCCCCAGCATTTTGTCAGGTTTCCCTGACAGTTCACCAGTACCCATTCACACTCCTGAGGCGAGTGAGGACTGTGACAGTGTCTTACCCAAGAACACAACACAATGATCGCAGCCAGCGCTTGAACCTGAAGCTCTTAATTCAGAGTCCAACACGCAACCATTAGGCCACTGTATCTCCAAAATCAATGGTATATAGAAAATCACAGGAAATAATAGTTAGCCAGAACAGAGATCTACCCCCAGCATATTTCCAGTACCCAATTACACACTGGGTGGAGACAGGTACTGCTGCAAGAGTAAAGTGTGCTTCCAAGAATACAACATAGTGACAATGGCAAAGCTCAAACTGTTGAGTCTTGAATGCACTAGTTTATCACATACACAATCATAGCTTAATACAGTCAACTCTCTCAAAGTGGACACCTCTGTAAGGCAGACACCTCTCTAAGGCAGACATGGTTGACTGGTCTTGACCAAATCAAATTTCTCTTATTTTCCTGTAATGAAACTCTCTTTAAGGCAGACAGCTAGAGCTGGTCCCGAGGATGTCCGCCTTAGAGAGAGTTCACTGTACAATTACAGTCAAAATACTCAGCGCGTTCCGCCCAAGGGTGAATTAATGAATTCATTATTGCAAATTTGATTTCATTAA